GGGGAGAGGGGTGGGTAAAGGAAAGAGGAAAGTTCCGGTGAGAAAAACAGTGCATACGAACTTTGTGAGTAAACCAGTATAAAATAAAAATGTTATTAAAAAAAGAAGCATAATCAAGTAGAAAATTTACACTTTAGGAGAATGTCTTTACCATGCATTATTATATAGAGGATGAGGGTTTTTAAAACATTAGGCATCAAGTGATCACAACTTTATCTTTCACAGTATGTTGTTGTTGTTGTTATGTGCCATCAAGTCATTTGTGACTCATAGCAACCCTATGTACAACAGCCCTAAATCGTGCTCTATCCTGTGCCAATCTCATTGCCTCTGACACACCCATCCCGATTACCCCAGTCACTGAATCAATCCACCTCATAGAGGGTCTTCCCCTCCTGCGCTGTCCCTCTACTCTACCCAGCATGATGTCCCTCTCTAAAGACCTGTCTCTCCTTACAACATGTCCAAAGTATGTCCCACGAAGCCCCAGAATCCTTGCCTCCAAGGAGCAGCCTGGTTTAACCCTCTCTAGGATGAATCTGCTTGTTTTCTTGGCAGTATATATAAATAAAAATATGAAATGGAATAATAACTGGAATAAGTGGAAATACTGGATTATCATTAATAAAAAGTTAATTTTTTAAAATTTTATTTTACTATTTTATGTGTGTACCATCAAATTGGATCTGACTGGTACAGGAGGAGATTGTCCCTCCTTCTCCAGCAGAGCATCTGGTGGACTTGAACTGCACACCTCTGGGTGTGCAGCAGTGCAGCTTCTTGCTACTAGGCCACCAGGGCTCCTTTAAAAAGAGTTAATTTTCAAAAGAAGGATGAGGCAAGAATACTTGGAATGGACCCCCATCCATCTCCCTGAGATCTCTCTCCTCATTATTAGCTCCCCAAGTTCCTAGCCCCCTGGGACCAATCAGTACCCACATCTGATGATGTTTCAGTGGATGATATCAATCAGGCCATCACCACTCTTACTCAATCAAGACTTTCCTGGACCATTATCTGTTTCACAACCCGTGGGTCAGTTTCCTGTCACACACCCCACCCCCACACCCTCTCACACCTTAATCTGGGCTCTAGGGCTGGGCTCTCTGTCTGTTTCTGTACAGCACAGCACAGCACAGACAGACAGACAGCACTTACTGGATCCGACGCTCATCCTTGGACTCCAGACAAGGTAACAGAGGGATGGGATTTGTGGGAAGGTCCCCGAGGAGCGCAGAGGGTGGCAGTCTCGGGAATGTGGGGAACTGAGACATTATTTATGACGTGCAGATGAAAACATGAAATACTTGCCATCAAACTGATTCCAATTTCTGGAGACCCTGTGGACTTTAGAGTAGAATTTGGCACCACAGGGTTTTCAAAGCTGCGACTTCTCCCAAGCAGGTTGCTAGCCCCTTCTTACTCTTTTAAAAATTTTTTTATTTTATTTTGTTAATTTGTGTGTGTACCATCAAATCATATCTGACTGGTACAGGAGGAGATTGTCCCTCCTTCTCCAGCAGAGCATCTGGTGGATTTGAACCGTGCACCTCTGGGATTGCAGTACACCTTCTTGCCACTAGGCCACCAGAGCTCCTCTTGTCCTTTCTTGTTCTAGCGACTTGACAGTAGTGGGTTTGGCTGTGGTCCTGGAGGCCCTGGTGGTGGAGGGGTTAAGCACTTGGCTGGTAACATAAAGATCAGTGGTTCAAACTCGCTAACTGCTGTATAGGAGAAAGATGGGGCTGTTCTGCTTCCATGAAGATTACTCAACCAACTCAACTCAACTACCTTCGAGTCAGAACCGACTCGTAGCTGACCCTCCATCATGCTTCCAGAGACTGTAAATTGCATGGGAGGAGATCCCCCATCTTTCTCCGGCAGAGCGGCTGGTGAATTCGAACCATCTGCCTTTGGGTTGGCAGTGCGACTCCTTACCCACTAGGCTACCAGAGCTCCCTTTTTCAGGATAAGAAACTTATATTGTTGTTGTTGGTAATTGCCATCAAATCAACTACAACCCACAGCGACTCTATGAACAATAAGCTCCAAACTCTGTCCTATCCTGAGCCAATCTCACCATCTCTGACACGTTTGCCCCCTTTGCCACAGTTAGTGTGTCAAGCCATCTCATCCAAGGTCTTCCTGTCCAAGAATCCTACCGCATAGTTCTGTTCTATCCTGTGGGATTATGATGAATCACATTTGCCTTCATGGCAGTAGAGTAGGTGGTCAAAGAGACTAGAAGTTTGGAGATATCTCTTTTTGGTGAAGCATTTTGTCATGCTCTTCGGATGTCAACCCCACCAGGGAAAGACACTTTGATTATTATCTGAATCATTGCTGTATATATAGTAGGTATTTATTGTTGTTGTGTACCATCAAGTCAGAATTAACCCACAGCTGACCCTCTGGTGGGTTTTCAGAGGCAGTTAATCACGTGGGAGGTTGCTCATCCTTCTGTGGAAGAGTTGGTGGATTCGAACGGCATGCTTTTGAGGTTGCAGCCCAGTTTCTTGGCACTAGGCCACCAGAGTTCCCTAATAAATATATAGTAGGGACAAAATCTGGTATATAGTAGGAACTGAAGGCATATTTCCTGACTAAATGAATCAATGCACTTTCCCATCAATCATTCAGTCTTTATTTACTGAGACTGTCTTGGAGGAAGTACAATCAAAGTGCTTTTTGAAGATAAGGGTGGTGAAACCTCACATCACATACTTCAGGCATGTAGTCAGAAGATGGGGGAAGGAAGGGAGAGAGAGAGAGAGAGAGAGAGAGAGAGAGGATAAAAAGGGAGAAATAAAGAGAAAGAGAGAAAGAGGAAAAAAGAAAGATAGAAAAAGATAAAAAGAGAAAGAAAGAAGAAAGAAAAGAGAGAAAGAAAAGGAAAGCAAGGGAGAGAAGAAAGAAAGAAAGAAAGAAAGAAAGAAAGAAAGAAAGAAAGAAAGAAAGAAAGAAAGAAAGAAAGAAAGAAAGAAA